GTACCTCTGTCTTGTCTGGATTCAATTTCAATTTGTTCGCCCTCATCCAGACCGTCACAGCGGCCAAGCACCGGTTCAGGACCTGAACAGCCTCCTTAGTAGCAGGTGGGAAGGAGTGACAGAGTTGGACATCATCTGCGTACAGATGGCACCAAACCCTGACATCCATCTCCCAGCGGCTTCATGTATATGTTGAACAACATGGGGGACAGTATGCAACCCTGAGGAACCCCACAAGACAATGGTTGTGGAGTTGAACAGGTGTCCCCCAATAACACCATCTGGGTGCGACCCTCCAGAAAGGACCGGAGCCACTGCAGAACAGTACCTCCAAGACCCATCCCTGCGAGGCGACTCAGAAGGATACCGTGGTCGACGGTATCGAAGGCCGCTGAGAGGTCGAGTAGCACCAACAGGGACACACTCCCCCTGTCGAGCTCCCGACGCAGATCATCCACTAAGGCGACCAAGGCTGTCTCGGTACCATGCCCCGGCCTAAAGCCAGACTGTGCCGGATCCAGATAATCCGTGTCTACCAAGAATGCCTGGAGTTGTGAGGCCACCACACGTTCCATGACTTTGCCCAAAAAGGGGAGATTGGAAACAGGCCGATAGTTGACGAATTGAGTGGGGTCCAGTGATGGTTTCTTCAACAGCGGTTTTATCACAGCTTGCTTTAAGCTGGCTGGAATTTTGCCCTCCCGAAGGGAGGCATTAACCACCACCTTCACCCACTCGGCCAATCCCCCTCTTGCCTCCTTCAGAAGCCAGGATGGGCAGGGGTCTAGGATGCATGTGGTAGCTCTCATTCCTCCAAGCACCTTGTCCACATCCTCGGATTGAACCAATTGAAATGAATCCATCAAAACCGGACAAGCAGGTGCTCGTGTTACATCCTCAGATACTGCCGTTAATATGGTGTCTAGGCCGGAACGGATCAAAGCGACTTTGTCTGCGAAGAACTGAGCAAACGCTTCGCAGCGGGCTGCCGAGTCATCAGGGCACCCATCCTGAGTGGTGGGTTTTAATAAGCCTCTGACAACTCGGAACAGCTCAGCCGGACGGTTCTTCGCAGACGCAATATTGGCCGCAAAGAATGTCTTCTTTGCGGCTTTTATTGCCGCGGCGTATGCCCTTAAAAAGGACATAAACCGTGTTCGATTTGGCTCGCTCGGATCTGAACGCCACACGCTCTCTAGTTCCCTCTTCTTTCGCTTCATCGCTGCCAGCTCCTCAGTAAACCAAGGAGCTGGTTTAGCTCGGTTACTTGAGAGGGGACGTTCTGGAGCAATCGTGTCTATTGCTCTAGTCATCTCCCCATTCCAGAGAGCGACCAGGGCATCAACAGGATCACCAACCGAGGTGGCGGGAAATTCCCCAAGAGCCGTCAGGAATCCATTCGGATCCATAAGCCTCCTAGGGCGGACCAACTTAATGGGTCCCCCACCTCTGCGGAGGTTGGGAGGTGCAGTAAGTCTAAATCTGACCAGGTAGTGGTCGGTCCATGGCAACGGAGAGATGGATAACTCCTCAACACCGCCACCTTCCTCCCATCCCTGACAGAAAACCAAGTCCAATGTATGTCCAGCACTGTGGGTGGGGCCAGATACCTGTTGGGACAGCCCCATGGTTGCCATGGTGGACATGAAGTCCTGAGCCGCTCCCGATAGGGCGGTCTCGGCGTGGACATTGAAGTCCCCCAGCACAAGTAGCCGTTGGGACTCCAATGCCAGGTCCGAGATCACCCCTGCTAGCTCAGGTAGGGAGACTGTAGTGCAGCGAGGTGGACGGTACACTACCAGAATCCCTAATCTGTCCCGGTCACCCACCCTCAGGTGGACGCATTCAAAATTTGTTGACTGCGGGATGGGGGCCCTGGTCAGAAGAATGGAATCTCTATAGACCACTGCAACTCCGCCTCCCCGCCCTCCGGATCTCGGTTGGTGCTGCACAGAGAAACCTGGTGGACAAAGCTGGGTTAAATTCACTCCAGCTTCATCCAGCCAGGTCTCTGTGATGCACGCCAGATCTGCCCGCTCATCCAGGATTAAATCCTGGATGAAAGATGTTTTACCATTGACAGATCTGGCGTTCAACAGCACCACCTTTAATTCGGAGGGACCGCCATCCTGGTTACACCAACTTACCGTATCAGGAGATCGATTTGGAATTACTAACGTTTTTACCTGTTCCCTGAGCCGAATTCGTTCCCTAGGCCGAATTAAAGGTCTCCCTTTCCCGTATCTCCCCCTCCCCACCACGACATCTATGGGAGCTCCCCGGTTAACGGAAGCCTCTCCCTCCTCCATGACGCATATAGTCGCCGTGATATCAACCCGCAGTTCATTATTAATCAGTTGATGTATTATTGCTTCAGGTTGCCATGGCCTTAAGTTCCAATCCTTTCCCGCTCTTATTATGTTGTGCTCAGGTCTTCCTAAGCTATTCCACTCCCACTCTCTGCAGTAAATAATTAGCAGCAAGATTAACAATTGCCATAGAGTGGACGATGACATAAGTGAAAGCTAAAAACACAATCAAGGAGTTCAATGAGTTCTTAAACGCAAGGAAGAATTGTATCAGCTTGTGCGATGTTCTGATAGATAAAATACAGTAGTTGTTAATTAATGCCAAAGTGCTAAGTATAGTGCGTCATGGAGGAACCACTAGCTGGAATGAATTTGGTTAAGGTGCAAGAAGTCGTTAAAGTGCCACGATGGAATTTCAAAGTGCTAATATATAAAGTGCTAATAAAGTGCCTCGATGGAATTCAAGTGCTAATATATAAGTGCTAGTAAGGTGTGATGCATCAACGAATAATGCGTGCAGATTCCAGTAGGGTGGCCTTTTGCAGCTGACAGATGGTAATTTTGTCAGCACCAATTGTGTTTAAGTGCAGGCCAAGGTCTTTACGCACTGCACCCAGTGTGCCGATCACCACTGGGACCACCTTTACTGGCTTGTGCCAGACTCTTTGCCGTTCGATCTTTAAATCCTTGTATCCTGTCAGCTTTTCCAGTTGTTTCTCTTCAATCCTGCTGTTGCTTGGGATTGCAACATCGACGATCCATACTTGTTTTTTTTTTTTACATGATTGTGAGATCAAGAGTATTGTGCTCCAAAACTCTGTCAGTCTGGATGATGATGATGATGATGATTATTTACAATAATGCTGGAAGAGAAGCAACAGTTACAAGCATATTTGCAACTGAACAAGAATCTAGTGGATGGATGGAAGATAGTATAGAGACAGGGAAGCTGGTAAGTTAGAGAAGGTTCAAAGCTCAATCCTCCAGAGTATATTGAGAAAGATGTCTTTCTGTGAACCTTAGTGTAGTGAGCTGTACCTCTTCCACTAGGCGCATGGGCTTTGTCCAGTGGTGCAAAAGTGTATTCGTGGCCTTGTTGGATACCTTTTTCATTGGCTTGGTATTTTGAGATGGGAAAAGATTGGGGAAGGCTGAGAATCAACTGGGGGAGTGATTTTTCTCTCTGTTGCTAATCTGCTTGTACAGTTCTTACAGTTGTTCTGTAACTACCTGTTTCTGGTACTAAATACCTGGGGAGTTGCTTCCACATTTAATCAATTTGTATAATTCTGAACTACTAGATGACATCACAGGAAGTCAAAGACAACTCTCTGTGCCCAAATCTTGCCCTGTGATGGGGTTACAATAAGTTGTAAACAACTTGAAGGCAACAACAAAAATATATTTGCAGCTCATCCTCCTTTTAAAAAATCACTTTCAAAATAATCTGAACATTAGGGTTGTATGTCATGAAGTAACATCCCATCATGAATGGAAGAGTGGATGGAATATTCAGGAACTGCATATCCCAGAAACTTGGGAGAAGCCTGATCCTCTCAAGGGAAAAAGCAAAGGTTCAACACTCAGTTTCCAAGATGAATGGAGCTCTGCTGTGGAGGTAATGGTAGAGTGGCCATCAAGTCCACTGAAAGTGATGGCCCACAAAGAAGCAGAAATCTCATGTGCTAGGGAAATGCAGGGCTACTGTAAAGGACTTCTTCATGTGTATAGCTTCTCTTCATGAGGAGGATGTCTTTCAAAAATAGTGATGAGCCTCAGCAGAACCTTAAATGAACTTTTGCCAGTTCCTGCTTAAATGACTTCCTGGAATTGGTGAGAGAATGGAACTGTGCAGGTGGAGCATTACACCGCTTACACTATCAGCCATGATCTTTCAGTTAGCTTGGATCCAAGACCTACAGGGATTTATAGTACATAATCAGCACGTATATCTAAAGAGCTGTTGTAGAGAGGAGCATGTAGGTTGCTTTCTACTGTCCCAGAGGATAAAACCAGATGTAATGGTTTGAAGTTACAAAAGGGTAGGTTTTGATTATGCGTAAGAAGAAACTTCTTGATGGTAAGAGTGGAAGAGTGGAACCAGTTACCTACAGGTACGATGGAATTTCCAACTCCAGATATCTTCAAAAAGAAACTGAATAGCTACTTGTTTGGGATGTTTTAACTCAAGTTTCTGCAGAAAGTGAGGGGATGGGCCATAAGACTCCTTGCAACTCTGGGACTCCATATGATTCTATGTAATCCCACAAACTGACTCTGTATAAGGCAGCTTCCTGTACTCCTAGTGTTTAAGAACTCTCTCGCCTTTCCTCTTCCTTTTCCTTGAGAAATGGACCCTCCCATTTGCTCTTGGATGTGGAGAAGTGACATTTCACTGTGGCTCATTGTAGCTTTGAGCTTGGTATGCTTTGAAAGGAGTAGAAAGATTCAACCGGGTTGCTGTGAGTTTTCCGAGCTGTATTGCCATGTTCCAGAAGCATTCTCTCCTGATGTTTCACCCATGTTTCATCAGGAGAGAATGGAACATGGCATGCAGCCTGGAAAACTCATAGCAACCCAGTGATTCCGCTAGTGAAAGCCTTCGATAACACACAAGATTCAAGTGACAGTGTAGTTTTGTGGATCAGTCATGTAAGTGTTCTAACCTTTGACAATGTTGTGTTTTGGTAGGCCAAAGACAGTGACGATGAGGAAGAAGTGGTGCATGTGGACCGAGACCATTTTATGGATGAATTCTTTGAACAGGTAAGATGGGCGATGTTGTGCAAGTCTTCTGCAGAAGAATGTCAAGTTGCTCTAGCTGTGACAGACACATATTACCTCAACTGACCTGAAATACCCAAATTGAATACAACAGCATATTTGCCAGCATATCTTACTTCTCTTAGGCTAGTTAATACACATACTCCTTTCTTAGGAGTAATATGCATTCTCAAAGGGATAGGGAACTGACAGCTGAAATGTAAAATACTATTTTGCATAGACTAAAATTAATGCTACCCTCATTTTATTTTGAGCACTTGCTTGCTAAGGTTATCAAATTAATATCCCCCTATAAGCAAGAACTTGACAATTTTGGAAGGCTAGGGGGACAACTTTTAGCCACTGTTATTCCCCATGAGCCATACTGGGCCTGGAAATGTGAGATATCAAAATTCAAACTGGCTTTTGATTTACTTCCAATTTCATTTTTTAACATTTTAGGAATAGGTTGGTTCAGAAATGTCTCAGAGCAAAAACCACCCCTCCTGTTATCCTACAGAAGTAACAAAAGCCATTTCAGGCTACTCCTCCAAATAGGGCCCTTTTCATAGTGGTGGACCTGGCAGGATTTCTAAGGAATCTGTGATCTGCAAAAAAACATTCATGAGCTAGACTTTTCCCACTCATGCTGTGAGTCAACAAAGCCATGCGTCACATTTTGAGATATCCCCATGTAGAATCAGTATTTGTCATTTTGATTGATGAGGCCCAGTCATCTTTCTCTAGTTTGAGAAAAAAATGCTTACTTAAATAGTGAAATGGAACTTCAGTATCTAGATGTAATAGATCTCTCTGAATGAAAGCTGAGAAGTGATACCTCAGTAATGTAGGAGTAATGCCTTAACGTCATGTTTGTATCAGTAAAAATTCAGGAATGGGTAGATCTGAAGAGTATCCATTTTGTTTAGTGTCTTCTAAACCCCAGTAACAGGCAAGTTCACCCATTTCACAACTTTTGCTGTGTTTTCAACTACTCATTGAGTGGATGTTTATGTCAGGAGACCCACAGATGTTGTAGTGCTATCATTCCACTTTAATTGTCTGTGTTCCGTCCTACATAATTGTGGGATTTGTAGTCTGATGTGGCTTTGCCTGAGAATTTTAAATGCCCCTCATAAACTACCAATCCCAGGATTCCATAGGATGGAACCATCACAGTTGAAGTGGAATAATACCACTTCGATTCTGCAGACTGAATGGGCTCAGGTTCTGTCTTTTGAAGCTAGCGAATGTGTTCCCTCTCCATATGGCCACTTGGATATCACCAAAATATTCAATCCTCGGAATAGCAGACATTTTCTGAAGCCTGAAATGTAGTGGCAGGTGTGTGCCTTGAAACATGGATAAACTTTGCTCACATTTGAAAAAAAAAAAGAGTGGAGGTCTAATTTAAAGAGCAGGATCACATAAAGGAGTGAAGCAGAAACCTTGTCCACAGTTTGTCTCCCTCCCACAGCACCCCGAGGTGTTTTTCTCTCCACTGTACTCAGGAAACAGATTGCAAGGAAGTACGTAGTGAGCAGAAAAGCTTTAGTTCTGGCTTACCTTTTCTTCACCTGTATACCTATTTTACTCATACAATTCAAGTGTGATGCAGATTGAATTGGACAATTCTACAGCAAATATGCATTTATTTAGAGCAGTAGTTCTCAACCTTCCTAATGCTGCAACCCCTTAATACAGTTCCTCATGTTGTGATGACCTCCATCCATAAAGTTATTTTTGTTGCTACTTCATTACTGTAATTTTGCTACTCTTACAAATCGTAATGTAAATATCTGATATGCAGGATGTATTTTCATTCACTGGACCAAATTTGGCACAAATACCTAATATGCCCAAATTTGAATGCTGTTGGGGTTGGGGATTGATTTTGTCATTTGGGAATTGTAGTTGCTGGGATTTATAGTTAACCTACAATCAAATAATATTCTGAATTCCACCAATGATAGAATTGAACCAAACGTGGCACACAGAACTTCCATGACCAACAGAAAATACTGGGTTTGGTGGGTACTGATTTTGAGTTTTGGAGTTGTAGTTCACCTACATCCAGAGAGCACTGTGGACCTAAACAATGATGATCTGGACCAAACTTGACATGAATACTCTATATGCCCAAATGTGAACACTGTTGGAGTTAGTTCTCCCCTCCCCATTTGGAGTCTCAGAAACAGTCCTTCCCTTGGCTTGGAGACTGGCTGACAGGCCGGCCAATCATAGCAGGAGGAGGGCTTTTGGTGGAAGGATTCACCATCTGTTCCCAAAAAAGGAAGAGAAGGACAGGTGGAGAGATCTTCTCTGCCAAAGGGGTTCCTAAGATCATCAGAAATATGTGTTTTCTGGTGGTCTTTGGTGACCTCTCTGATACCCCCCTTCTGACCCCCTCAGGGGTCCAGACCCCTAGGCTGTTGTTGTTTATTCGTTCAGTCACTTCCAACTCTTCATAATCTCATGGACCAGCCCATGCCAGAGCTCCCTGTCTTTCCTAGGCTGAGAAACACTGATTTAGAGTATTTCTAACACAGACTATATCAGCATTATCTCTGTGCAGTTGCTATAAGACAATCTAAAGCAATTTTTTGAAAACAATTTGTAGCTGAAATAAAACAAAATCTGAAAATGAATAGATGGAAAGCCAAACCATGATATCACTAAGTCCTAAACATCAGGTTTTAATTTAGGACCAAAATAAAGTATTATGTGTCTTGAATCAATTTTGATTGGTTAAGAAAGCATATTATTTTCAAATGCGTGTTTGGGAGAGAGAGAAAAAGAGAGAGATCATGGTATTTAATGTTATCTTTCTTTGGGGTTTCATCTTCATACCTGGTTATGCCTGAGCATTACCTCATAGTACTGAATGCTATTTCTGTTTTTTTTAAATTATTATTATGAGGCATGAGAAATCATACAGCCTGAATACACGCTGTATGGCCCCAGATCCCATCTGATTTTGGAATCTAAGTAGGATCATCCCTAGTTAGTACTTAGATGTGAGACTTACTGATGAAAACTAGGATATATTTCAGAGAAAAGAGCTGGCAAAACCACCTCTGGATTTTTCTTGCCTAAGGAAGCTGTATGAAATTAATGGGGTTGACTTAAAGGCACATGAACATATGAGAAACCATGAAGAGGGTTTTTTTTTTTTGTGCCTCAGAATATGCTTCCAGCTCCCAGACTATTGCAGAGAGAAAAAAACAGCCACCAAGGATACACAAGCTGGCCATTATTACTCTGTACCCATTTTTTTCCATTCCTCCTCTCCTCATTCTTTCTCAGGAGCTACATTTATGCAGAAGATGGTAGTGAGTACCCATGGCCTATATTAAGTTCTTATTCTAAATCAGAGTTAAGCTCATGAATATTCAAATAGCAGGCACTTAATATGAAGACCATTTTGTTCGTGATGCTTTGTAGCCTACATAATGTGCAAGTGCTGGAAGTTTAGGGAAGCTGGGAAAGCCATTGAGATGATCGACAGCAAAGGCTGTGAAATCCATTGTGTGTCTGGTCACAAAGGCCAACTGTGATTGAGAATTGCTGCAGTCCATTCCAAAGAAACCTTGCTGTTTCTGTAAAACTGTATTGTCTGCAATAACTTGTGCCTCACAAGTGCTATTTGTTGTTAAAATCCAGCTTGCTTATCTTTCCCAGGGCAGAAATTATTGAAGGCATTGGTTACAGACCACAAAATCTGATGTAGAGATCTAAGATGTTCAGTTTTCTTCTCTTCTTCATAATTAAAAAAGTTGCTAGTCTTCATGATATGCAAATAGCATGTCATAATATTGAAGTAGTTCACTTCACTTAGGCGATCCCTCATAGCCTGAGGATGATGGTCCTCCAAGTGTAATGTCTTGCATTGTGTCCGTAGGTAGCTGTGGAGCCCTATTCTTGAACCACATGTTTTCCCGCAGTGAGGACATCGGTTTCCAGGTGGAAGGTGGGCCCGGTTAGGGTTGGCTTGGCATGCCTTCCTCTTGGCATGTTTCTCCCTTTCGCCCTCCATTTGTGCATCTTCGAATTCTGCACCACTGCTGGTCATAGCTGACCTCCAGTTAGAGCGCTCAAGAGCCAGGTTTTCCCCAGTTCTCAGAGTCTATGCCACAGTTTTAAGATTGGCTTTAAGCTCATCTTTACATCTCTTTTATTGTCCACCATTGTTACATTTCCCGTTCTTGAGTTGGCAGTATAGTGACTACTTTGGGAGACGGTGGTCAGGCATTCGGATAATGTGGCCAGTCCAGTGGAATTGATGGCATAGGAGCATTGCTTCAATGCTGGTGGTCTTTGCTTCTTCCAGCATGCTGACATTTGTCCGCCAGTCTTCCCAAGAGATTTGCAGGATTTTTTTGGAGGCCGCACTAATGGAATCATTCCAGGAGTTGAGTGTGATGTCTGGAATGTTTCACAGGTGTATAACAGGATTGGGAGAACAATAGCTTTATAAGCAAGCACCTTGGTGTCCCTATGGATGTACCGATCCTCAAACACTCTCTGAAGTAGTAGTATTGTGGGCTAACTAGATACCTTGAGTCCAGTCAAATTTTCCCCACATTCCGAGTCTGGCTAAAACAAACAATGCCCACCACATCAATTGCATCATTTCATGTTAAATTAGCAAGTGCAGTTACGTAGTGCTTTAATTCAAGCATCTCAGTAGTCTTGCAAACTCTTGTTCTGAGTCCCTGGGGTCCAATTGTTCTCAGTTATAGCTGCTCATTGATGAGTAACCAATCATCAAATTTGTAATTTGTGAACACTGAGGCACAAACTAATATGACAAGGGAAGGCAAATCTGTTTAAACATGGGACTGCTTTCATAGTCTTTAGAGGGTTGGGATTTTTTTTTTTTGCAGAGCTTGGGAAAATTTTTTAAGGCTTTAAATCCCAGAATCCCCATCTAGTGTATCTAGTAATCTTGCTGCCAGGGGATTTTGAGAGCTGCAGTCCCAAAAACAACTTTCCCAAGCTCTGGGCTTTCAGTATAAAAGTTTTGTCAGTGTGGTAGTTCCAAACATACATGGAGTCACTTATATCACTTTTGTTCATGTCAGTCACTTCTGGTGTGAGAATTGGCTGTCTACAAGGATGACGCCCAGATCTTTTACCACCCTGTGTGAGGCTTCTCTCATGTCCTCACACGAGAAGCTGGAGCTGACAAATGGAAGTTCCCCCTGCTCCCCAGATTTGAACTGCTGACCTTTCGGTCAGCAGTCCTACCGACAAGGGTTTAAGCCATGTCGCCACTAGGGGCTTATATCACTGATTTCATATCTTACACAACTGAGTATGACCTGAATGTATACAAATAGGCACCTTAATCTCACATAATAATAATAATAATAATAATAATAATAATAATAATATAATAACTTTATTTTTATACCCTGCCAACCATCTCCCCAAGGGGACTCGGGGCGGCTTACAAGGGACAAGCCCAAAAAATTACAGATAAAAACACAAGCCATTAAAAACATCAGATAAAATATAAAAACAATCACAAAAGTTTGTTTCTGAGTCTTAGGATTGTATTGAATGAAGCCACTATTCTTCAGCAGTGGCATGATTGCCGATAACAGCTACTTACCAGCATGAGCATCCTTGCTATTCTCCTTCCTGCACCAGCACCAATTCACCTATCTGTGGTCCTTCATTCACACTTCCACATAAACTCAAAACTTCACCCCCCACACTTTCATTGCCCCATAATATTTTAAATATATTTTTAAAAGCAAATTTGCAATTTCAGGTATGATGGGTAAAAAAAATCCAAAAAGCCCTAACTAGAGTGGGAATAGCAGCAGGCGGCGAGTGGGAGAGGAGGAGAATCCTGCCCCCTGAAGTCACTCTGAAGGTCTCTCCACTTCCCACAAAGCCATTCCCTGCTTTGTGGGGAGCTGGCAGGATTGCAGAAGCATTTAACTGTGTCCCCATAATGAGATGTCATATGATGAGAGCAATGCAAAGTCCATTGGAGTACCCAGTTTGATCTCAGCACTCATATTATCATTTCACATCTGGCTACAGGGAGACATTTCTGACACCCTGCCTGCTCCCAATGGGTTTCAGAGGCTATTCACAAATACAGGAGAGGGCTTTGGACATTGCAAAGGAAGGAATGAGATGTCAATGAGTGCAGCACCCCAAAACAGACATACAAGCACATGTGGGAAACCTACACCTGCTTTTGTACTTACATGCTGTTCTAATCTCAAACTTAGTCCAGGCCATAATTTGAAATGGCCGAGAAATCTTGGTGATGCCTTTGTGTGAGCAGCCTGCAGGTTTCAGGACCTTGGAGAGTGTTTCTGGGAAGAGTCAGCCTGAGGTTCAAATCCTTTCTGCTGTGCATTGCCCCCTGGTGCTCAGCCTCAGGTACTGATGACATTTCACCAGCAGAGAATTATTTATGCTAGTGTGAAAAGTATTTATTTGAACATCACCAGCAGCTCCAGGCCACCCCACATCTGATAAATTATGGGGGAATTCAGATAGGTGGAGAAACTGTCCTGTAATCCAGGGATGTGGAGCCTCTAAGGATGAAACTGGTATCTTTGGCTGCTATGTGAGTTTCAGCACCTACCGCTTTGTGTTCTTACCCAGGTGGAGGAGATCCGTGGCTGCATTGAGAAGCTCTCAGAAGATGTGGAACTGGTGAAGAAGCAACACAGTGCCATCTTGGCTGCCCCCAACCCAGATGAGAGTGAGTAAAAGCAGGAACCACTTATACTTTCATAGTTAAAACCACTGTCAGAGTAACTTAGGAAAATGCCTGAGATCCTGTCAGGTCACTGGTCCATCTAACTTAGTACGTTAGCAACCATTACCCAGAAATTCAAAATACCCCAAAATTCCAAAATTGTCCATATGGAGGCTGAAATATGGACAACTTTGTTGTTTGATTGTTCCATATACACAAACATTCTTTCACGCACAAAATTATTTAAAATATTTTATAAAATTACCTTTTGTATACGTGTATAAGATATACATGAAACATAAATAGTTTAGATTTCAGTCCCATCTGCAAGGTATCTTATGCACATAAATGCAAATACAGACATTCTAAAAATTAAAAAAAATCAAAATACTTCTGGTCCCAATCCTATATGCCCACGCTCTGTCACAGAGGCATGCATCCAACCCCCCTGTGGCAGCAACTCCACTGGCTGCCTATTAACTACCAAGCATGATTCAAAGTGCTGGCTTAATCTTAAAAAGCCTTAAACGGCTCCAGTCCAACTTACCTGTCCAAACGTATCTCCCTCCGTGAACCAGTTTGTAGATTAAGATCTTCCGGGGAGGTCCTGCTCTTAGCTCCACCGGCCTCACAGGTGCAGCTGGTGGGGACGAGAGACAGGGCCTTTTCGGTGGAGACCCCATGGCTGTGGAACTCTCTCCCAAGTGAGATCAGGTCGGCCCCCTCCCTCTTGACCTTTAGGAGACAGCTAAAACTTGGCTGTAGAACCAAGCATTCAGCCCATCATAGGAATATTTAAAGTGAAAGTGAAAGTGCAATGACTCAGGACTCTTTATGGCAACGGCTATGTCTTTGTGTGATATGTAATGTTATTTTATGTGATGTCTTTGATAATAGTCAATTATGATGTTTTTTACTGTTTTTTTTATCAATGGCATCGAATTATTGCCAACACTGTGAATCGCTCTGTCCCCTTTGGGGTTGAGAAAGGTGGTATATAAATACCGCAAAATAAATAAATAAATAATAAGAAAATGCATACAGTGTTTTCTCATTGTGGTAAGATAGAGAAATATATTCCATGCCTCAACCACCAGCCAGGATGTCTGTTTAACACCTCTTTTTGTTTTTGATCTGTTCTGCTTTTAGAGACCAAGCAGGAACTGGAGGACCTTACAGCTGATATCAAGAAGACTGCCAACAAGGTGCGCTCTAAGTTGAAAGGTAAGAATTGGAGTTGCAACCATGTGGACTGCACTTACTAGTTTTCATCTTCATGCTGTATACAATCGGCCCTCCATATCAGCAGATCCTGCATCCATAAATTCAGCTATCCACAAGTTGAAAATATGTTTTAGCTATTCCCAAAAGCAAAGGTTGAATTTCCCACTTTACATAAAGAACACTATTTTCTGGTGGCGCAGTGGGTTAAATGACTGAGCTGTTGAACTTGCTGACTGAAAGGTTGGCAGTTTGAATCCAGGAAGTGGGGTGAGCTCCCACTATTAGGCCCAGCTTCTGCCAACCAGCAGTTCAAAAGCATGCAAATGTGAGTAGATCAATAGGTACCCCTTTGGCGGGAAGGTAATGGTGCTCCATGCAGTCATTCTGGCCACATGACCTAGGAGGTGTCTATGGACAACTCAGCTCTCTGGCTTAGAAATGGAGAGGAGCACTACCCCCCAGAGTCTGACATGACTAGACTTAATATCAGGAGAAACCTTTACCTTTAACTATTTTTCCTACAGCATTCTGTATAATGGAACTTGAACATCCATGGATTTTGTTGGGAAGTGAAACTCGATGTCACTCATGGCTTCTCCCAACAGCTAAAAAGACCAGTATACACAAATTGCAGTGATGGAAATGTATCTTAACACAAAAGCTCAATGTATACATACAAATACAAATGTCAGTAAAACATAGGATTATTACATTCTCATTTAACAGAAATAATTTGTTTTTTTCTCAAAAGATGAAAACATTCTTCTTCACGTGTTTGGAAATAGTTCTTGTCTCTTTACTACAGACGTTTTTAAATGTTTAAATTATACACTGTATATTGTTTATGGCATCAAATGGCTGCCGGATGTAAACCGCCTTGAGTCACCTCCAGGTTTGAGAAAGGCGGGATAGAAATAGTGTAAAATGAAGTATTCCCAGAATAATGGCTGAGACTGTTTAGAGACCAAAGTGAGTGACCACATATGCGGACTGAATTAAACATTTATTTTACCTTGGCGATTTGGTATATATGTATTTTATCTATATGTATTTTAATCTTGTATTGTTGTATGATGTTTTAACTTGTATTAGTAGCATTGAATCCTTGCTGTAAGCCGGTCTGAGTCCCCCTACGGAGGTGAGAAGATTGGGATATAAAAGTTTTAAATAAATAAATAGGCTCCAAATCCTTACACAGTAAACATCCTATTTTCTTTATTGCACAAGAGTCGACTCCGACATTCAACCTATTTTGACTCACAGGAGACTTCATCAGGTAGTTGGGTCTATAAACAATACATGTTATTAATACATACATATAGTTTGTCAACTAGAAACATAAAGTTTATAAGTATATATACACACATAACTTACTCATTTATCAAAACAGCTCAATATTTGAGGCAATCATTTCGAGTACAGTTTTTAGAGGTGGTCACACCATCCAGGGACACTATTTTCAAACTAAGCTTTTACAACAGGAATCTTTCTGGATCTTTACCCTACAAACAAAACATCCGAAAGAGTTAAACAACACTAATGGTTGTTTTTTTATAATAGTGGAGGTGTTTCCTCAAATGTATTCAGAACTAGTAATGACATCACAACCACCTGACCAATGGACGTGCTATATTAGCAATGGGTTAAGTTTTTTCAATTCCATACTTGCTACAGAATAAAACACCTTTGCAGAGTATACTGGTTAACAAGGACTTGTTGTGAGTATTATTGATCATTTTTGTTGTTTATATCTTTGTTATGAATGGTATGTGTTTCATGTAACTATGTAGTACTACCTTCAGCCACTATGTACGTTCCCTTCAGGATCCACTTTTCAAGAGCACTGTCAGTAGATAACTTGCCTCAAATATTGAGCTTTTTTGATAAATGAGTAAGTAGCGTGTGTGTGTGTGTGTGTATGTGTGTATATATATATATATATATATATATATATATATATATATATATATATATATAAACCTTGATGTTTCCAGTTGACAAACTATATGTGTATATTAATAACATGTATTGTTTATAGACCTAACTACTTCATGAAGATTCCTGTGAGTTGAAACCAGTTGAATGTGGAGTCTACTCTTGTGTAATAAAGAAAATTGGTCATTTACTGTGCAAGGATTTGGAGTCTACCCGGTCTGTAGTAAAGATACAAATATTATTCCCATATACATGAAGAAGAATTTTTTATCTTTCAAGAAAATAACACATTATTTCTGTTAAATGTGAATGTAACAATCCTATGTTTTACTGACATTTGTATTTGTATGTATACATTGAGTTTCTATGTGTTTAGATACATTTGCATCACTGCAATTAGTGGATACTAGTCTTTTTAGTTCCAAGGGAACCCGTTTTTCTTTTCAGTTCTTCCAGCAGCTGCCAGGGACCATTTTCATATATCTGGAAGAGGGATGTTATGTTGTCATGCAGTGATGTGCCCAGGGGGCAGGGGGTATGGTAGCTCCTGAAAAGGAATGTTGTTGTTTTTTTAACACCAGTGAATTTTACTCGACTCTATCCTATGCATGGAGACATTCAACTTTCCCCTCCCAAAAATCGTACTTATTTCATCCTGCCTGTGCCTCATTCCCGGCTTCAGTATGAGCTAAACTCTTTCATCTGAGAATTCTTTGTTGCCCATAGCTTCAGCAGGCATAACCAAAGGTAACTGTTGCTCAGGCAAACACAAGCCTGATCTGGAAAAATATATGGACCCTATGAAATTGGAGCAGACATGGGCAAACTTTGGCCTTCCAAGTATTTTGGACACTTAAGCAGCTGAGGGGGGGGGGGGGGAAGGAAGGGGCCTGAGGCAGTTAGGAATTGTGAGAGCTGAAGTCCAAAACACCTGGAGGGCAGAAGTTTGCTCAGGCCTGAATTAGAGCAAGCCAAAGGGGTTCTTGGATATAAAGAAGTATTCTGGAGTCAGGAAAAGGCACCAGCATCATTTTAATTGGATGTTAAGTGGCTCACCACATGACACAACAAGGGAGTAAACTAAACAAGGATAGAATAATGTGATTCTCCATATGACTCTTTGACTTTTTGAAGTCTTCCCTCATATGAACAATGGTGAAGAATGCTAGAATCTGCAGTCTAGCTGGGGGGCCACATAACTCCCATCCCAATGCAGAGGTTCCATTTTTTAATCTGGATTGCTTTTGGTACTTGCTGCAGCTCTAACCCTTTAACTCTTTACATCCATCCAGCAATTGAGCAAGGAATTGAGCAGGAAGAGGTTCAGAACCGATCTTCAGCTGATCTGCGGATCCGGAAAACACAGGTAAGACATTAGAAGCATTTTGCTTACATTTTTCTATTTTTGTGATTTTAAACTGGTGGATTTTTTAAAAAAAGTTAAATGTAAATTTTTGAATGCTTATAAATTGTTTTTAACCGTTTAATTATGATTTTTTGATTTGATGTTCGGCATCTAATGGTTTCCTATTGTAAGGCAACCCTGAATCCCCCCTCAGGGGTGAGAAGGATGGGGTACAAATGCTTGAAAGAAAGAAATAATAAATATGCTTCATTTTAAAAATGCTTTGGCCTTTTTCTACAGCTTCTGTCATCTGGAACTGATATGAACCAACTTGAGTTTGTTAATTATGACTGATGTTTGTATGTGTCATCCTTTAAACCAAGTCTGAATTATAGGCAGATGGTTTACAAAATATTGATACAATACACTAACTGCAGAATGCAATAGACTGGATAGAAACGGAGAGAATGAACAACCCCTAGAAAGAAGCATTTGGTGAAATTATGATTCTTTGAGACTGTTTCCCATTATCCAGGCAGCCATCTTTTCTCTTGATTCAGCTGCCACCCAAGAGCAGACCACATGGGTTCTAGTGGACTGTTCTGTTCTAGTCTGACACCTACATCTGTATGCATGTAAACTGAGCAAAACCCCTAAGAACTCTAAATAAAACAATTTATTTCTCTTATTCATAGATGTTTATGTATTTATCATGTCAGAAGCGAATTGAGGGTACAGTTGTAATGTATTTTAAAATACAAGCTAAGTTAAAAACTTGGCATTATACTAAATGTCCTTTGACTAATAGCTGGCCCCTTGGCGTGCCTCTAGTGTTGCTATAAGAAGGTCCTCCATTGTCCATGTGACAGAGCTCATTCTGCATTGTAATAGGTGGCCTGTGGTTTGGTCTTCTCCACACTCTCATGTCGTGGACTCCACTTTGTGGCCCCATTTCTTAAGGTTGTCTTTGCATCTTGAGATGCTAGAGTGCAGTCTGTTCAGTGCCTTCCAAGTTGCCCAGAGGGGGTTTCTCATCTGGTTTCAGCCACTGATTGAGGTTCCGGGTTTTTATCTGCCACTTTTGGACTTTCACTTGCTTAGGTGTTCCTGAGAGTATCTCTGTAGATTTTAGAAAGCTATTTCTTGATTTAAGGTGATTTAAGATAATGTATGCATTATCTTAGAAGAGGCATTTTTGCTTCCCTTTTATACTTAGGGAGTGGGGTGGGATCTTTCTAAGAGGGCACTTACATATGATGAAATATGGAAAAACCTTTCATACATTTTTATTAGATGGTCATCTGTCATAGCATGCATCATTTTGGAAGCAGTTTTCTCTCTTCTTCCCCATGGGGAAGATAAGGTCTCTTTTAAAATATAGGTTGCTATTACATATTTTTATAATTGTTTTAAAAATTTGCTATCCAGCTCATTGAGGAAAGTTTTTGGTGATTTAAAAAAAATAATCAAGGTAACCAAGCAGTCTCCTAAGTATTGTAACCCACTTGAAACCTTATTCTTATCAGGGGATGCCTCTTCCCCTTTCTGGCAAAGGTTTTTTGTCCACCTGTATTGGGTGCACTGCTGTATCTGGTTGATGCCACATCTGATACATACCCAGGCACTACCCCTACTTTAGATGTTATACAGATCTAAGGTATTTTGTAACAGAGAATGTTGTAAAAAGACAACAGCCATTCTGATTAGGGGCTATCAATGTGTAGTTTTAGTAGTTCGTTTTGCCACATATGTGACTTGAATTTGCACGGGAATTCCCCTCCTTCAGGCCTATAATCAATAGGACTAGGCCTTGCTTTGAAACAAGAGAACGCTTTCTGCTGGTCTCCTACCTGACTCTTTCACTATTTCATTGGCTAGCACTCAACCCTCTCCCGCAAGTTTGTGGAAGTGATGACAGAATACAACACAACTCAGTCCAAATATCGAGACCGATGCAAGGACCGTATCCAGAGACAGCTGGAGATAAGTATGTTTGCTTGCCTTTGCCTTTCTCTTGCAAACATCGCAGCATTGTATTATCTAAAATGCTTTCCTCATTAGCAGTTCAAAATCTCTCTTATTGAATGTATTCCACCTGGAGAGGCAAGAATATGCCATTGGATTTCTCCACTGGCTGAAAGGCATGGAACCTGAACCATTTACCTTGTTAGCAATAATAAAACTAATTGAAGAAATGATTTCTAATGCTGCATCTACACTGCCATATAATCAAGTTTCAGAATGTGAATTTACTTCATTGAACTGGATTATGTGAGTCTACACCAGGCATGGGCAAACTTCAGCCCTCCAGGTGTTTTGGACTTCAACTCCCATGATTCCTAACAGCCTCTGGCCCCTTCCCACTTAAGCTGCTGAGGGGGGAAAGGAAAGGGCCTGAAGTTATTAGGAATTGTGGGAGTTGAAGTCCAAAACACCTGGAGAGCTGAAGCTTGCCCATGCCTGGTCTACACTATCATATAATCCAATTAAATGCAGTTAATCAGCATTCTGAAACTAGATTATATGACAGTACAGATGGGGTCTAAGTCAGCTTGGCACCGTTTTTGGTTGAATGGCAGGGTATCCATACTCTTAATATATGAAAAATATAAATAATGACCATTTCCATGAGCATGTACAGAGTGACCTCTTCTTGTTGACAATCTGCCTGGAACATTTCAAAATGGAATCTGGGCCATTATAGCAGACGGATATATTTCCCAAGCAATGAAAACTCCTTGGGGACAAGTGCAGCCAGCCCTCTCCATTCATAAGTACAGTTAGCTATCCACACTTGCAAAAGTGGAAAATTGCTAAACCCTGGGAGAACACAGTGTTTAGATATCTCTAGGTCTTCCTATGCAACTCTGTGGTCAATTTCCAGTGGAGAGTGACCTTTTGGTCACATTGAAAGACCTAGAAATTCCTCGAGAGACCATGTTAATCAAATCAGCATATAGTCAAATCTTCAAAAGTTAAACCCACAAATACGAAAGGACGATTGTTTCTGGTTGTTGTTGTTGTTAAACCAACATCACTCCTTCCTTCTCTACAAGCAACTGCCTAAAAGTGGGGAATAGCTGTTAATAGATTAAAACCTGGCTGTTGGTAGATTTTTAGTAGTGTCTCTTACTTCAAAATAAATGCCAAGCTGAGCAGCAAACCAGACCATCCTAACAACCACCCCATGTAACTGTGTTGTCTGTTGTTGGAAGGGGTTTTGCTTCTTCCTCTACAGCATTTGTAAATAAGCAGAATGAATACCAGATATATGTATTTCCTTGTCAGGCGGGTAGTTTGTGAATTATTCTGGAATCAGAACAGTCGGCCCTCCATATCCATGGATTCAACTATCCACAGCTTGGAAATATTCAAAACAAATTCCCAAAAGGCAAACCTTGACTCTGCCATTTTATATAAGGAACATCATTTTACTACACTGTCTATAATGGGACTTGGGACTCCATTGTTTTTAGTATCCCTTGGGAGTTTGGAAACAAACTCCAGCAGATACTAAGGGCCCCTCATACTTTCCTGTGGCTTGCTAAAGGAATGGGGGGCATTGTAGGGAAAAGTGTGACCAGATCCTCATGACTGGCCTACTTTTCTTGCAGCTGGCAGGACAACAACCAACGAAGAATTAGAAGACATGCTGGAGAGTGGGAAATTGGCAATTTTCACTGATGATGTACGTATCTGGGCTATGAATGCCTCCCTCCTGCAACTGCTTGGTGGACTAATTTCATAGGGAAGCACACCCCAAAATGCCTTGGAAACCATGAACATCTCAAACATGGCGCCGCTGTAGTTTATAGCTCAGGAAATTATAGTGGTAGGGACAGCAGAAAAATGTAGGAAACCAATCTAGAATACTTAAGAGTGTGTGACCCAAACTTGGGAATAGAGGCAGGTACACTAGGCAGGGGCAAGAGGAGAGAGGGGATGTCAGACAGAATAAAATGGATGTTGAAACTCCATACCCTGACTTGTTAGAAAGCCTGCTCCTTTGCCACAGCAGTCTGGAAACTGGCAACATATTATGGTGCTTTGCTCCTAAGTCATTGAGAGAAGAAACTTGCCAGTGTTTCCCCCTAAAAGCTGAAGTTCCCACATCAAGTTATGATTTTTCATAGCATTGAAATTCTCTCTTTCTGTCTGCATCAGATCAAAATGGACTCACAGATGACGAAGCAGGCCCTGAACGAGATTGAAACCCGGCACAATGAGATCATCAAACTGGAAACCAGCATCCGAGAGCTCCATGACATGTTTGTGGACATGGCTATGCTGGTGGAGAGCCAGGTATGACGAGATGGGAATGCACCACATTTATTTTGAACTAACAGTTGGGGTTCCCTGTTTGCTTCTGAACTCAATTCAAAATGTATCCGTTTATTTTTAAAGCTCCACATGATTTCAGACCAGAATACCTACTGGACTGTTTACGTCTGCTCACTTGTTCTGTGAGAGTGGGATTGTGATTCTTCTCCACATGTCACTACCATTTGAAGGCAGCAATCGTGGAAAGAGCTTTTTCAATGTCCTTAATGGATGTTTGTTAGTGTAGTTACTGATGGGGGACGAGTGGGCAGTGGTATCATATTTTTATATATCATCTGTGTTGATGTTTTCAACTTTTTACCTTAGTAATATTTCCCTTTCTCCTATTTCAGGGAGAAATGATTGACCGCATTGAATACAATGTTGAGCACTCTGTTGATTACGTGGAAAGAGCCGTCTCTGACACCAAGAAAGCTGTAAAATACCAGAGCAAGGCTCGGAGGGTAAGTAAGAGGTCCTGGAGCACAAGGAGAAATGTAGAGAAAGATCCAGGGGACTGGAGTCAGACAGAAATCTGCTACAATTACAATGTTTGTGCAGCAGGCCTTCACTTTCATGAATGTTACGGGCACAGGACCCCACGAAAACTGTCAATAAAAAAAATGATGTTTCCTTACCCAATGGAACATTTTCTAGGAATCTCTAGGTCCTTCAGTGTGACTCTGTCTGAAGTTGACAATAGTTGTGTTCTCTCTAGAAATCTCTTCAGTCGTCCAGCACAACTTTATGATAATCTTTGGTGGAAGTTGAGAATAGAGTCATGCTGGGGGACCCAGAGATTCTCAGAGAGACCGTCTCAATACAAATCTGCAAATAATAAAATCCACAAAAGTTAAACCTGCAAATGTGGAGGGCTAACTGTACTGTATTGGAAAAGAACAGGTTGTCTCCTGAAAATTGAGGAAATAAATAAACTCAATTTGGTTAGAAAAAAAACTTTCAGAATCTGAGTACCAGATTTTTAAAACAAAAAAAATTGAAAGAAAAAGCAAATCCGGGGAGAGGGGGCAAATCAAAGGGAACAAAATATCATTTGAGAGGACTGTGGCTGTAGTACTAAATCTTGGATTAGTCCCCATTATTAATTAGGACTTGATCGGGAATTATATCAAGGGTGGATAACATGCAACTCACAGGCTGCCTGTGGGATTTTTTCACCTTCTAGATATAGACCATCCTAACTTTGCAGTTAATAAAAATAAGAACTGAGAACCAGGGTGTGCAGTTTGTGCACAGAGTACTTGCTGCCTCAGCCTATGTCTTTTTGAAGTGAAAAATGTTAGGAGGGATGTGAAACTGAAAGTGGACTTTCCACCTTTATTATTAGGTGGGTGCTGTGAGCCTTGTTGGGATGTGAGGAGGAACTGGCTGACTTCTGAAGTTGCCCATCCTGCTTACATAAAGTGTTCTGGCTAATCAGCTTTCTAGTTTTGTGCCATCTTGTTTATGCTTTGTCATTTTCTGAAATGTTTTCCACACCATCCGGATAAATTTTGTTAATAGGCTCTTTATCTTATCCAAAGTTTTATATACAACCAGGGGCGGCTCAACCCATTACGCAAAGTAAGCATTCGCAGTATAGTTGGTTTTGCCCAGGAGCGCTCTTGGGGGAAAATAGACCTTGACATATGCGAGTTGTAGTTACTGGGATATATAGTTCACCTACAATCAAAGAGCATTCTGAACTCCACCAATGACGGAATTGAACCAAATATGGCACACAGAACTCCCACGACGAACAGAAAGTATATATCAGTGATTGGTTGGGGAAGGGGCAAAATACTGTTTGCTTACCGTCGAAAATTACCTAGGGCCGCCTCTGTATACAACTCCTTGTTCCTAATGCATTTTTGTCTTTTCCTCTCTTTTTCTCTCCCCCCCCCCCCCTCTCTCTATTTGACTTGCTCCATGGATTTCCTTGGGTAATGTAGAAGAAAATTATGATTATAATTTGTTGTGTGGTTCTCGGTATAGTACTGGCCTCCTCCATCGGGGGCACGCTTGGGTTGTAAATTAAAGCAAAAAAATAATAATATTATAATAATTTAAAAATTGTACATGCAGTGGATATAACAGCACATGTTCCAGCTACCTATAGATAAAACAACTTTATTGGGTCAGCAAATCTAAGTTTGTTGTTCAGCATCATCTCTTCATCCATTTTTACTCATTTGCTGGACGCCAGGGTTTCACCCAGAATTCTCCAATATTCTGGGCCTCAACCGGGTGTCTCGTAACTGCACCTCCCCTTCCCAATGCACCATGGTCCAAAATGTGTGATTCCTGCCCACCCCACAGATTTCCCCTTTTCATATCAATGGTTAACCCTGTGGGAAGAAAGGGTTCGTGGTATTCTTTTCCTATTTTGCCTGGGAAAGGACATAGCTGTGACTTGAGCAATCAGCGCGATGAAAGGCTGTTCTGTAACTTACTAGAACATACTGTGCCTGAAGGAGCAAAATACATCAGTATTAAAGTTGTAGGATCAAGCAAGGGCCATTGTCCGAGACACAGCTCTTTTGAACCTATTTAATTGCATTCAGTAGCTGAGAGTGCATAGGGATTTCCAGTCCCAGTTTGTAGGAAGGGAAGGATTTGATGCCAGCGTTAACCTTTCCTTTTTCATAACTGATGATAAGATACCCCTGGGCTCACTCTCCTTGTCTAATACAGACATAGTTTCCAAGAACTGTATGAGTTAAGAGTCTTCAAAGTTTTCATTCTTAGGTACCTGGAAAAAAATAGAGTAAATACTCAGGGCACAATCTGTTCATCTGCTGCATCCCCCTCATCTCAACTTGCCTCCCCGCCGCACCTCATGCACTCTTACACCACCCAGACCCTCCCTTCCTCATTGGCCAAGATCTACGTTTTCAGGAGGGCAACCCATTCCTGATGACATACATAAGGGACCAACTCGAGTAGCCTCTCAGATATTAAAGAGTGTTTGATATTATGGTATCAATGCTCTGGTCATTACAAATAGATTTTCCTCTGCTACAGTTTCCCCCAAATAACCAAGATGCAATATAGCCATGCTACAAATATTGGTACAATTGGTATGATTCCATTTTTAAAATACTGCACTAATGTTATTTAAAATATTTCACAGGTACATCAATGCTGCATATCAATGTGGTATTATTAAGCAATATTGCAACTACTAGGAACTTGGGTTATTTATAGCTGAAAGATAACAGCCCACGCTGAACCATCAAGGATGCAAGAATATTGCTGCCATATTATCCCAAACTCCTGATTTAAATAGACTGAGATGAGGAAATTGAGACCCTGTCATCTAGTAATAACTGGGGACACAGGCTCACTTTTTTTAAAAAAGTGGATTCATGACTGCTATGAATTGCAGGATTGTTATTTCATCATTTGTACATAGGAATAAATTAGTAAATCATTTCTCTGATATTTGGCAATGCGAGTAGATCCAAAGCTTTCTTCTATAGCCTTCAAATTAGGGCCAGTTTACAAGCAACAATAGTCACAGAGATAACTCTGAAGGAGGGAGCTGAGTGGGATCAGATCTACAGTGAGAGTAGGAATTTAACTATTTGCACTAGCTGCACTACTGATAAAAATCAGTGTGTACTCCCTGGGTTGCAAGTTTGCAATGCTAGAAAAGCACACAGTATGGAAAGTTTGGTGCAATGGGAGCTGTTTCCCAATGTGAATAGCAGCAGGTGGACAAGGACATAGGCAAAGTCCCTTCCCCCTTTCCCTGGTCCTCCTATTGTGTTAAATATTTAATGTTTGTTTTTTAAAAAATCCTAAGTGCCAGGGCTAACTGGATGAACAATGTCACATTGAATTTGGTTTTGAGAGGACCAAAAGAAGTAGCTTGGGGTTGCAGTGGTTGCTCAGAAATAACACAGATGATGAGGGCATACCCATTTGGAGCGCAGGCAGGAAATGCCAGTTTATATCTTGAAAAATTAGTTACATTAAAAAGAAAATCACCCCTCTACCTGCGGGAAGCTTATAGAGATTCATATTTTAATGTAGCATCCTTCTTATGAAAATGGCACAACCCTAAGACTCTGCATCACGTGTGACACTTTTGAGCATGTAATTCAACTCTGAGTGATCTGGAATTGGAAAGAGATTGTGCCAGTTTGGGTGTCCCACTGCCAAAAATCAACCATAAGGAAAAAGTACCTACAGTATTAGAGCATGCATTCATTTTAGTGTGTAGAGGTGTGTTTGCTTTTTTAGTGTACAGTAAGACACCCTTATCCATGTGGAAAATGTTCCAAGATTCCCCATGAAAGCCTAAAATCTTGGATTGTACCAAACCTTATACAATAATATTTCTGGACATCGGTTAACTGTGGTTAACTGAAACACCAGAAAGCAAAAACATGGCTAAGGGGGACCAAGTAATATTTCAAAACTTCAGTTGACTGTAGGTAGCTAACACTACAGAAAATGAATCTGTGGACAAAGGAGTCTTACTGAACAATGGAGCATTAAATATATCTATCTCTAGATTATGTTGAATGTATAAACTGGCTCTAAAATTTTATGTCCAATGAAATCCATAGACTTAGAGACTGTTTGGGTTGTTTTTCTCCTTCCTCCTCCCTCCCACTCCTGTCTTCAACCCCACAAGTTGCCTTGGCCTAGTGGTCCTCTTCCCTGCATGGCAGGGTCATGCAGATACTCAGAGCAGCTGTATATGTGGACAGCCTGCTTTGGGATCTCCCTGCCTATGGAAAACAAGAGGCAATTCCTTGCTTTGCTATCCATGCATGGAAACAGGGACAGGATTCTATTGCCAGCTAGGAAGAAGTAATCTGATGAAGATGAGCAAATCCATTTCTGCACACACAAAGGGACTGATTTCTGGAGAATGATATGCCAACCATGCAATAGTGTCATTGCCCACTCCTAAGGAAAGCCAACAGGTATTCTTCTCTAAAGTGGCCTATGTATATAAAGACACATTGTTTTGAATAATACTGCACCCTCACTGGAGTAATGATGGCCCACTATCCTTGGAGGGATAGTGGGCCAGTCTAAAGAAATTAGACTTTCTGACCCTTGCCAATATTATTTAAATATTCAAGAGTGAGGGCTCCTCCTGCTTCCCAAATGTCCTGCAGTCTTCTAGAGTTATGTAATACTGAGCCACCTTGTAATGTTAAGAGATTTTTTTTCATGCCCTTCCAAGAAAATCAAACTCATGATGCAATTGTGCCAGCAACCTTAGCACCCTAACTATGCACCCTTTTCAAAGAATAGAATGATTGCTCCTTTAAAGGGCATCTCTATAAAGAGCAAAGCATTCATGATTAGATTGTGTCATGATTCCCTAGAACATTAGCAGCTTCTAGATTGGCATTTGTGTATCTGGAATGAGTCCTAGTACTCCTCATGCCATTGCTACCAGTAGTAATACTTTATAGTATGGTGAATGGATGTTTTGTGGGATACTTTTTCTGAAATATTTAGCATTTTTAAAACAACAATAATAATTTAGACTTGACAGTAGTGTTATATTAAGTTTCTTTAGGATTGTGTAGGCCAATGTTTCTAAAGTTTTAGAAGTACCCTTCAGCTATACATCTGAAAAGATTTCCTGACAGTACATGTAAGAGATGCCCCCATTCAAAGAAATGGCTCCCTATTCCCTTGTGTTTTCGCACACATTTCTTTGCTAGACATGTTTTTCCTGAGGGTGCATAACTCCACTGACTCTCTGTGCTGGGAGATATTGCATTAAGTGCTGCACTCCCAATGCAAAGAGGCTGCAAAAATAACCCATTCCTTGTGGAAAGCTGGGTGGAAAAAGGCCATGCTAGAAGAGTGAGGCATACAGAAGTACATTGGGCAGTCTCCTTTGCAGCTCCTTAGACCCCCAAGAACACAGGATTATTTAGTTATTTCTTGCAACTCATTAGTGTAGCTTGAGGCACAATTCAGAATTTCTGATGGATTGATGGGTTCCTTTCAAATCATATCAAGGCCATTAACTAGCTTGGTCCATAAGGACCTCTTCTTCAGTGAAAGATTATGCCATTTTTCATAGCAATACTACAGTAACTGTGATGCAGTTCTGTTTTCCTGAAGTCAGCCTTCTTGAAGATGTAAGGAGGTCAGCGAAGCACATAGTTTCCTAGGAATTGCCTCCACCAACCTATAGTCAACTCCACCTACCGGTTAGCATCTCATGACCTTGCTCTCCCTGCAAACAATGGCAGTAATAGTGTTAGCTCTGTGCAATTTTTTAAAAAAATATCCCTTCCAATGAAAAATCCCTCTAGTACCTGGGCCTCTAAATGGAATGAGGAAGGATATTTACTGGTTCCAGGGGTTCTAGCCATGGATGTCTGAGGCTTCAACACACTTTGAATATGGAGAAGTCAAGGAGAGTTATTGAGTGTCACTTGTATTGGTTAAAGAAAAGAGAGCTGATGATGACACAGTATGAAAGACCTTTAGAGATTTGTGCAAAACAAGGGTGGAAGAGTAGAAGGTCACCTTTAGCAAGGAGTGGATCCAGACCAGTTAGATGAGAGGATGAATTACCAGAGGGAAGATGGCCAATTATTCCATTGTAGCCAATATCCTATCCACTTAACCCCTTTCCCCAACCTCAGTCCAATATTTGTCATTGAAAGGTTGCGCCGGCAAATCTGTTCCCCAGGGTTCACTTTGTTCAGTGTCATGACAGGGCCCTCCACTCCCAACCCCTTTTCCCTTGGGTGGGGCATGATGATGCTTTTCCCCCACCTACAACTCTCATTTCTCTTACCCATCTGCTCTTTCTTCTGTCTATTTGATTCTGATTTTATAAACCCTCTGTGTGTGCGTGTGTGTACATATCTGTAAATACCGGTAGATATGTTGTACATAAGTTCAGTGTGGCGTTCTTTTGTACCTATGTGCAAGTGAACTCATGGGATATAGGTGTACATATAGAAACACATGGGTTGTATAATACACCCAACAGTATGCAATATGTGTTTGCTTATGTGTGAGTGTGTGTTTCTGTGTCATGTTTCTGGTTTTGTGCATGCACATGCTGTCAGATCTTTGCCCCACTTATGGCAGAACGAGTAATAATTTTATCTGATATTTAGATCTGCAAAGAAAAGAGTTTGTTTTTGAGACACACAAATCTATATACTATCCTTGTTTGTCACAGTTTATAGGAAGACTCTGCAAGCCACACACTTTTCAAAAAGCGACTAAAATAGCAAGTATGAACATCTGTTTTGCGATGGTTCTCATCTGGGCCAGATTTTCCATGCGGGTGTTCACAGAATCACTTGATCTGGATTAGCTACCACCATAAAAGGTGCTAAAGCTGTTAAAATAGAATGAACACACATCTTTCAAGAACTGCTTAAAGGAAATTCTAATCCAGTCTAAGTGGTGAGAACTTTTTCATGTAAACCCTCCTTTCTATCTCATGTTTACTAGCCCAATTATGTGAAACAATAGATAGCTGGAAAATACTAAAATTTTACTAAGACAACTGGAAAACAGTGCACTAGTAATTGTGTAATCTTTAACTAGTGGCTGTGAAAACATATATATAATCTGAGTTACTTCATCAGGAGTAAATAAATGGTTTATCACCACCATTTATTACAAAAGTGACATTTTGAAAATTGTAGCCCATCATTTGAAGCCCAGAACTATTTTTAAGAAATTGAATGGGAGTGCTGGTGTTCTTGCTTGATCAGTACTTTCCAAATAGAGGGGAAAGGCTTCCTTGGGCTCCAAATTTGTTTCAGACTGAACTACATAATCAGTAGACCTGGTGATATTTCTCCTGCTGAAACATACTGTCTCAGACTGCCAGTGAAGAAACACATGTCTGAACCATCTTTTAAAAAAAAAATCCTTCCTCTCACTTGCATTAATTTTGTTCATTTTGGAGAGGTTGTACTGTCTAAAAGACAGATGTTTAAACTATTGATCATTCACCTGCAACCTTCCATTTACATGTATATCTCATGCATCTGGTGATTAGAAGGCTTTTCCTCTTGGAGAAATCGCACAGTGATACATAATACCAACATTCACAAAGGGTCTTGAAATAAGAATTGTCACAAGGCCTTGCAAAATCCGATCAGAACACAGTGTGTGGCAAACATCTGTTGTGTGGCATTGGCATGAATAAGTATGCCTACATGTGTATGTGATACTGTTGATGCCTGTGTCTAGCTTTCAATGTGCCTAAATATGCGTGCACGCTTTCTCTCTCTCTCTCTTGTGTACACCATTGGTTCTCAGAGTGTGAAGCGAGGGAATTGCAAAGGGTTACTCAGGGGAGATGAGATTTCCTCTGTGTTTCCTTCCACTCTCTCTCTCTTGATTGGGCTAGAAAGCTAGCAGGACTCTCCATTTTGCTCTCAACTAGTGCAAGATTATGGAGGTGATTTCCAATAACTGAATATTGTTAGATTATTCTTTAAAATTATTTCCAGGTGTTTATCTATTGAGGACAAGTTTGTGGCTCTTTCCTGCCTGGTTGTCTTTTGGAAGGATTCTGTTGGCTTGAGGCCACAATCAACAGTTTGAGAACCCCTCTTATATAGACAGATAGATACCTCTCTGCCTTTATGATACCCGGGAAAGAAAGAGATATCATTTGTCAATGTCCTGGTATGGTATGGCCGTGTATATGTGCTTTGCAATGGGTTTCTAGTATGTGCATTTACAAGTGGCCTGTTCCCCCCTTGCTTCTACATAATTCTGAGGAGGAGAAATTGTCCAGTTTGAAACTGACTACTGCTGTCATAATCCCAAAGCCAGTTCAGATGAGGAAGACAAAACAAAACCTGAACCATCATGTTGGGTTATGTAGAAGCCATTGCAAGTTCAGTAGTCAGGCTGTATCAGTATGTTTATCCGTATGCCGACTGAATATGTGAGTGTGATTTGTTGGTGTGGATGTGCCTCTCATCTGTATGTGTACACACACACACACCTGAACACCATTCAAATACACACAAACAAGCACACATTTTAGACTACAAACTGAACTGTAATTACCCTCAACCAATCCAAAAGTTTCCATTGGGTATCTTTGATTCATGCATTTTGAAAATTATCATAGGAGGGTCTCCCAGTTTATGTGTGGAACATCAGATGGGAGATGCTTGACCTTAAGGGTTTCATTCTTGATCAGACTATACCTTCCAAGGTGTTTTTTTTTTTTTGGGG